TGTGCAATGCTCCTGCGACTTTTCAGAGACTCATGGACCGCATCCTCGGGAAAGCAAAGTGATCTTACTGCATGTGCTACCTCGACGACATCGTGATTTATTCACGAACCTTCGAAGAGCACTTGGCCCACATTGCCCATTTGCTTGAGAGGGTGAGAGCCGCCGGGATGACGTTAAATTCCGCAAAGGCCCAACTAGTGCAAACCCGTGTTCAGTTACTTGGCTTCACGCTGGGCAAAGGCTCCATTGAGCCAGATCGGGAGAAACTTCGAGCAATCCTCGATTTCCCCGCGCCAAGGATGTCTCACCATCGTGTTTGCACTGTGGAAGTTGGATGTCTACCTTGATGGGACGAAATTTATGGTGCAAACAGATCACAGCACGCTTAGCTGGCTGATGCGGGTCCGTAAGCCTGCAGACAGGCTAGCACCCTGGGCTCTCCTAATACAGCATTATGACTTTTCAGTGCAGTATCAGAAGGGGAGCACTAAAGTGGTAGCTGACGCGCGCTATCTCGTGCCCCAGTGTCCAAGAGCCTGGATCCCGGTGCGACAACCGCTAGCGGTGCCTTTGTGCAAGCGAGCGACACAGGCGAAACGGGGGCAGAGCCGCCATGTGAAGAAAAGGGTGAGTGCGCCATAAGCAAACCCTTTCCGCGGGCCAAGCAAGCAGCGTGCCGCAAAGCGGGCGACCCACTTTCAGAAAAACCCACTTTCAGAAAAACTCAGCCGTGCCCACATCGCAGACCTGAAAGCCTTTGCGTCTAGGTCTGACGAGCCTGCGCCAACGCCCAGTGGCTTTTCGCGCAAGCAACGGCGCACACCCGGCGCGGCGGACCGCATTCGGACCACGCACCGGTATAATATGAGTAAGCAGTCACCTTAGTGATTTCGCGCCGGACGGCAATCTTATTTCCGCAACCGAAGGCCATCAGTTTTACTATCTAGTCTCAGTTAGCTAACTTCTTTACAGCCAGTGCTTGCAAGGAAGTCGGCTCCGCCCAGTTGTTGCTGCTGATTTTCATTTGGGAGTTCATGTTTACTTGATGTAGTTTTCGTGTTTTCTTTTTTTCTGCTTGGTGAAGGAGGGGATCGTGAATTGATGCTTTAGCGTGGAGAGAGGGACAAAGGATGCTCTGTGCCTTTCTTTGCGGGGGGGGGGGGGGGGGGGGGTTTGGAGGCACGGATCATCGGAGAGAGAGAGAGGTGTGTGCGTGTGTGCGTGCGTGCGTGCGTGCGTGTGTGTGTGTGTGTGTGTGTGTGTGTGTGTGTGTGTTGAGGGCTCCTGTTGAGCGCCGACCGCTACGCCGACCGCCGACCGCCGACCACACACAAAAGCGCGCGCGCGCGGTCAACTTATGAAGCCACCGACCTCTGCACCACCTTGGAGGTGTTCAGAGATCCACAGTCGTTAGGCAGCCCGGCTGTACCCTGCCTCCAGCCGTCGCTGAGAAGCTCTGCTGGCACTTCCATCATGGCTCCTGCACAAGGCCAGCTGTCGCATACGCTGTGCACGACTCGACCAACGCCAGGACGCCTCGCAGCCAGTTGATTTGGCAACCATTATTCCAGCAGAAGAGCCGGCTGTCGCAGCAAGGTCCACCCGGACCTCCACCGAGGCGGCGTTCGTTGCACTCGCGGGCCTGTCGTCAACATCGACGAGACGAAGGTGAGCCTGTTCTTCGCATGAGGGCCTCAACCAGTCCTCTCACCTTGCACTCTCGCATCCACCCGGCCACCCAACCCAAACATTACGTGACGCTTCCCCTCCAAGCCATGGACGCGCTCCTGCGTGAGCATCATAAACTTCCATTACCTCTCTTCCACGGCACCAATGTATTTCCCAAGTGTATTATTTTTTTGTCGTTTCATTTTTTTTTCTTCAGCAGCAGTTACAGGGCCAGGTTGAGGCTACCTGTTGCCCATTGCATGACGTTTTTGCTTGCATGGGCAACAATCAGCTGCCTTTGCAGACCGGTATATAGGATGAATTAAGGAGAGGAGAATGTGGGGATCTGAAGCGCGCCCGCGACCATTTCCCGGGCATTCCGCCGTACGGCCGCTCCCTTTCCCTTTTCCTGCTCTGCTAACAGCGCGTGGCGATAGATGGCCCCACGCGCGGGCGCGGCATGTGTTACGTGCGTGCTGAAGAAGCTCTTTCCTACGTGGTTGGCGCCGGGCAAGCACGTGTTTCCTTCGTCCGCGTCCCCTTTGGGAATCACGGAACTGTAGCCTGCCTGGGGGCCTTGGCATCCCGGCAGGTGTGTTGAGTGCTAGCTTTGGTACCATACGCTAAGCCAACTGCGGTGCTTAGTGCTTGAAGTGGTCGTACCACACCGAGCCGACTTGCCGTAGGCCTACGCGTATGAGGTTTGACCTAACTCTCGCGACCAAGCCCAGTGGCCATCGTGAGAGTGAGCAGCATAGCCGCAAGGGACCTTTTTCCGACCGGCGTGCCAAAGCTCGCCAGTGCCTGCTGTGACGTGCTCTCGGTTTCTCCTTATCGAGAACGTCCGTGTCCCGAGAGCAGACATTGTACTGTTGCTCGGGGTGCCGCCAAAGGTAATAAAATGTTGGTGTATTTCCGTTATTTGAACACTTTCTGTTTTGCCGCGCCGCGCTAAACGTTTTGTTAGTTGAGCGCGCGCGGAGCGGTGCGCTACGTGCGAGTAGATGACGGAGTCACGGCCCTGTGGCTCGCTAAGCGCGAACCCGCGGTGATCATCCGCTACGGTGAGCAGTAAGGTCACCATAAATTGCAGAACAATTTCCGATTGTAGTTTCGTGACAAAGCAATGTTAAGCCAAGCGAAGCAAACTGGAGCCGAAACTATGAAAATTTGACAAGTCTGTGTACTACCCATAATTCCCATGCTCGCTGAAGCGCCACGCGTTGCAACTCCCATAGACACTTGTGCCAGAGTTTCGTCTAGAGTATTATTAGGAAACTCTATGACCCATTGAAAGAAAAGTGAAAACAAAGTGCACAAGGTCACGATGTGCACTGACCATGGGATTCATTTTACTGCCCCCTTGTCATCCCCTCTCTGCGCAGCTTTCAGTGTGCCCCCTGGTACAGTAGAATCTCAATCATGCGAATTCGAAGGAAGCAAGCAAAATATTTGTATGAACCAAACACAAGTTAAAGCTGATCATGAAGATGAACAAGAACTTCATAGGGGTCAGCTACTTCTTTCTGAAAAAGAGTCCATCTTTTGATCTTTCCTGCTATCAACACCTCTCAATAAAGTGCCGCAGTTTCCTTACTCATGCTGCTGGTGCTTAAAGCGCGTTCAAACTTGGCATCAAAGCAAGGGAATGCGGCAAAACTAAATGGAAATTCACTCGCATCAATGCAAGGGAATGCGGCAAAACTAAATGGAAATTCACTCGCTCCACCGCTTAAGCAGCTGGAAAAATGCACCACGAATTCGACACTAAAAAAATCACACGGGAGAATTCAGATGAAAATTCCACAGCCGCTGCAAAACCACATCTGTACCTGTCGAAAATGTTCACACTTCCGCTGCCACTCAAAAATTAATTCCGTTTATCCCATTTCCTGAGCATTAAAATTAGTACAGAGTTCTAGTTATGCATGCAAAGCACTGAAAAAAGAATAGTTTACACCTGTACAAACGTTGTTTAAGGAGATACACCAGCAGAAACAACTTGAGCGGACGCACCAGCAGCGGCGGCGATAGATGCAATGGGCACTGCAAAAGCGAGACACGTTAGGGTATGCCGATTCACTGCTGCTGCACCTTCTTCTACTTCCGGTGTTCACAGCGATCGTAATCCAAACCAGGCTCTCGAGGAATGCATCCATGCCAAGGCTGTGAGCTTTGTCATACTGCGCGGGCAGTTCGCGATTGTGACGACGCGAGCCACTGCCGACGCCTATATCGCCATGTTGAATTTTCGGTTCGTTGTTGACATTATGTGGTTTGAGGGTTAGTGCAGCCACTGCAACCAAAGCTCTGAAGAAATAAGGCTATCTGGCATTGCATGGCAAAAAAATTGGTCTCAAACCGATTCTTTTTGTATCAGCTACGCGGCATGGCTTTCCGGACACTTAGGCGGCAAAGCGAGAGAAATACACGTTAGTTTTACCATGTTCACTCTCTTCGAGGCCAACTGTGAACAGGGCTTCTTCCCACAGACAAGCCATGTTGCGCCATTCGCGCGCAGCAGTCAATTGCGTGTTCGTATCATTTACGGTGGCTGGGAATATCATTCATATAACACGAAATCACGGCGTATTTTCTATAATGTAGTTCATTCGAAGCAATCTTAAAGTTAGTATCATCGCGACATTTGCATCAACTGTAATCGTATCATCAAGTTTCTACTGTCTCGAAGGAGAAAGAAAGTGATGAAACAGTCCTCGTGGCTTTGCTCATACCTGACCGAGTGTTATAATCTCCGTGACTCTGCTCATACCTGACCAAGTGTAATAATTTTTGCGGCATTCAATTGGTAAGGCAATAAGCTCCTTTTTTTTTTATTCTTTATTCAATGATTACCCTTCTTAGCCCAAAGGCACTGCACCAGGGGGGTCACAATGTTTAGAAAAACACATCTTTATTTAAAAACATCTTCATTTCAAGTAGTCTTCTAATGAAGTCATTAGAAGACTACTCGAAGAAGTGTAGCCGGGCCCCTTAAATGTACTATTCACACAAATAACCACACTCACAGTCTCGCTAGTCACCATTTTTAGGAAATATCAAAGCACGCTCGTTGCACGGTGGGCACTGTTGTGAAGTGACGTTAGTCCCTATCAAACTGTTCAGCTTGCACTGGTGGCGCATGCGCCCTCTGTTTGCTATATGCCTCCTTTCTATGTAACAGTGGCGACGAGCATGCGCCACCAGCGCATGCTGAACAGTTCGATAGGGACTGACGTCACTTCACAACAGGCCCGCTATCCTTCAATGTGCGCCAGAACACTTGATAACCTAAGGACTGTTGTGCACCCAAGTGACAAGTGTTCACCCACCCTGAGAGCAGGAATATTAATGCCATAGCAAGCTTCGGACGATGTGTTCAGGAGCCCGAGAAAATCTAGGGGGCGATCCACACGGCACTGAAGACCTGGAATCGATGACAGCCTCCCACTCCTGCAACAACCAAGGGACAAGTTGCAACTGTCCGAAATTCGGCTTTGCATACCCAATACTGTAAATCATAAGGGTCAGCTCATTACTTAACCAGACTCAATTTCAAGAGTACTGACATTTGAGCTAGTTGGTTCGCTACATTCAATAAGGCCATAGCACTGAAAACATAGGGATAAAGGAAGATGACAGCATTTACACTGCCAATACCCGCGTTTTATTTCTAAAACATGTGCTACTCATAATAAAGGTATCAATCATGCAAGCCAGCATCACCCAGACAGACGATTTCCTTTTTTCCTTTGCGCTCAGAGTGATAAAGAGAGTGCTAACACAGTTGGCACCTTCTATTGCAATTGGCTGCCTCAATTATTCTGGAAGCACTAAGGAAATCGATTAAATCATCTGGCTAATGCTGCCTTGCATGATACATCGATGTCCTACGTTTTTTTGTTTGTTTTTTTTGCGGTGGGAAACGGGTGCGCGATACAATTGAGGGCGCGGTAGAATCGAGTACCGTATTTACTCGATTCTACCGCGCCCTCGATTGTAACGTGCACCCAATTTCCACCGCGAAAAAAAAAAAAAAAACGTAAGACATCAATTGCAACGCGCACCTATTTTTCTCGCGGGCCCGCACGATCACACCACTCGAAAAAACTACTCCTTTCGGGAGCGTATTCTATTTAAATATGAGGTACGGGCGAAGCTTGTGCCCGTCTGACGTGTAACAGAGCTTTCCGTCACGGTAGTTTTACCGTGGACCGATGTCAGCACGTGAACTTGCTTCGCGCCCTTCTTCTCGACGGTTGTGGTGCCAGGCATGTCGAAGTAAAGAGGCGTTATGGGCATTCCCGATTTGCCCAAGCAGGTAGCCGTTGTTGCGCCGCAAGTATAGGATGAACCTCTGAAAACTGTGAAGCTTTTCATCGTACTCCTCCGCAAAACTTTTCGCATATGCATGTTCCCCTTCGGAGGGAAAAGCCTTTCCTCTAAATAAAGTTAGTTAGCCAGCACCTGCTCGCTTTAAACTGGCTCTGCATTAGACCTTTTTCCAAGACTAATTGCATAGCCCGCACTTGGAGCAGTTCTGTCGTCACGGGCCGCTGTGCTGCTCGCTGCTCAAGCACATACTTGCCGAGCAGCTCTTTAATTTGCGGAAACCGACCCTGCTGTGGTCCACTGAAGCCTTCGCGTGAAGCTTTGCTGTCGAGAATCTTCTGCTTTTGTTTCCGCCGGTCCCGCACGCACGTTTCGGGAACTCCGAACGACCCCGATGCGGCCCGATTTCCGTCCGTTTCTGCACACGCCATAACTTTTCTTTTAAAAGCGGCATCGTGGTGCTATCGAGTTTTTGGAATCGGCCCTTCCACGCCATCGATGCTAATGCACTACTAGATGACGAACTCCTCAGCACACGTACGAAGTGCCGCACATGGGAAACACATAGGCAGAAATGGCCGACGCGCCATGCCGACGCACGTAGGGGGCGGCCATTTTGGATTTGCCGATGGCAATAGATTGACCGTAATTTTTTTGTTTGTACTCGATTCTAACGCGCATGCAATTTATAAACTCGCTCAACCGGAAAAAAGGTGCGCGTTAGATTCGAGTAATTACGGTAAATACGGTATTTGGCACATTTGCGATACACAATATCGGTGAAAAGTTCAGTTTAAATTTGATTTATAATGTACAGCTTTTTCTAATGTAGTGTCACATTGCGTGCAAGGTAGCTAAAGTTCGAGATTAATGGTATTTTTGTGAATCTTGGTAGAATTATTTTAGCATGCAATAATAGCTTTTTTTTTTTTCAAAATTGGAAAGTGCCAAAAGTTATGTTTCAGGTGCAGCTGACAATGTATGAAGCAATTCCTTACCTAGCCTAACTACATAAAATGCACGCACAGCTATTTTCTTCAAATTAGAAGGGTGTAATAGCATAACAAAACAACACTTGTTATAGAGAAGGCCCTCAACTTTGTTTCTATCTTTTTCCCTCTATGAGAGCAGTGGCAATCAAACCAAAAGCTATGGCTAAAATGCTCTCTCTGAAATTGAGGGCCAAAAGAAAAGAATGACAAAAATTTATGATAACCAGGAAGCGAAAGAGAGAACAAAAGCGCAAGATATATGAGAAAAGTTAATATCTCGGGCCTGAATAACGGTCACGTTTAGGAAACAGCCGTTATAAACGCACATAAGAGGATTCAATGCATTCAGTGACATCACGTCGATGTGGCTGGCCGTGATTCACGAGCACAATATTATTTATGGGCAGAAATTCAAGCATAACTAAGGTGTTCGTTCTTATCTAGACCAACCAAACAGACAGAAAAAAGCTGAAGCGGTTATTGTATGGGAAGACCTGAGACAGGGCCACTGGGCTCAACACAACAGGCAGAGGTGTAAATTGTGTGCCCAATCTGTAAATAAGGTACCCCATAAATTTTTCCTTGCACAGTTTTCGAAGTGTCCCTTTGTGCCACTCATATCGGGCCTTCTCGTGTTACAAATTTGGCAAAAGGATTACAGCCTGGTGCCCTCGTGAGACAATGGGACAGGCATTGTCCCACTTTTTCAAAGGCACTTCATAGGTCAATTAGACACATACATCTCACTTTTTTCTCTTAAATTAATGGTCATATTTTGGTGCTTCATACTATTTCTAAGCACACTATCTAAAAATTTCTTGTGTATAATTTTGGTTAACACATGAAAAATACAGAAAAACGTCATTATTCGAACTCTGTTATTTCAAAATCTCATTTGATTTGAAGTATTCCAGTGGTCACATATTTTGTAATGTTAGTTTGAGTGGATAATTTGAAGCAGCGGCCAGCACCACTCCCGTTAATTCGGAAACCTTGGGTACAGTGTACCGATTCCCGATCCCGATTTCGCCACAAAACCGCACAAATGACAGCTTCTAAGAACCACTAGGCAATGTACTGTAGCGATTCTCCTAAGTGGCCGCTAAAGTACCCCAGCCTCAATACTTCCAGGACGAAAAATAAAATTGTAAAAAAAACTGTCTCGATGATCAATTGAAATGTGCACTTGCAGAAAAGAAGACCTGCTTCGCTACAGCATAGTGGTGACGTGCAAACAACATGTCACATGCTTCTCGCAACGTCAGCACATCATGATTTACCCATTCTTTCTGGGAATATAAAGAAGTTGATAAAGGACAGTCTGGTGGAATTCACGATGTATGCCAACCTCGGAGTGCCGGTTGTTCCAACAATCTGCGCACTTGCACTGCTAGCAAAGTTTTTGCCTGCTACGCCTACTTTCGAAACTCTGTTCGAAAGCTTCAATGATCATGTTTTCCAACCAAAACATCGTGAATTTCATCACACTGTCTATTATTCAAATCTTCGTTATACATGAAAGAATGACGAATGGTCGAGTCATGACATGCCGATGCAGCGAGGAGCTCTGTTGCAGTGAAGATGTCTCATTTTTCGCAGGCCTGCATTTCAGTTGATCTTTTTTTTTTTCTTGTTTGCGATTGCAACAGCGAGACCCGGCGTTCCCTCTTGTTTGTGGCAAAGCGGTGACCTTGCATTGCTGGAAACGTAACCCTTGGAGCCGCCAACTAATCAGCACAGCAAACGATGAGCCCTGATTATACTTTGAAAAACTTCAAGTTCCTTGCATCCCACTTTTTGTACGTTCTGTTAATATCTCACGGTCCCAGTGACTTCAAATTAACAAGTTTTTACTGCATTGATGAACCCACAAAGGGTTAACAAGAGTTATGCAATATTAGCGTCTAGGTGTTACATTTACTCATGATTTTTCATGGTCTACTTAAATTGCCTTGACATGTTCTAAAGCCCTAAAACAAGTAGAATATATAAGTCCAAGAATGCAGAATGCCCCGATGGATATAAAACTTTTAATGTAAAAATCTCTTGTTTGCCCCATCATTGAGTATGCCTCGACGGCCTGGTCACCTTATAGACAATGTGACATACTCAAACTGAAATCAGTTAAAAAATAAAGCTGTGTATTTCAATTCCAACAGGCAAGACCGCTTTTTCTCACTCTCACCAGCTTTTACATGAACAGGCTTTCCCGCTTACTTTAATCCAAGTGCCAGCTTAAATAATTCATGCAGCATTGAAATAATCGGAGTGCCAATATATTTAATCCATGTGCCGAACATTAAATCCATGTGCCCAACATTTAATTTAATTGCCAACATATTTAATCTAAGCGCCTACTCAATAAGGCCGTGTGCCAGTGAATTTAATCCAAGTGCCACTAGGTTTAATCCAATTGCCAACGGTTTTAATTAAAGTGCCAGTCAGTTTAATCCATGCACAAAAAGCAGAATATGGGGTGTAAAAACGACAGTACAGTTGAAATGAAGTTCCTATAAGAGATAAGGTAATAGTCGCAAAGTATAACAAATCATTATTATTTGTATTCGCTGATAGTACTTGTGAAATAAAATTACGGGCGTTGTTTGCTTCAGCCATGCTTCTACTTTGCTATGTACAAGTTTGTAGATGAGTGCTTGGGCCGGGTGGAGTCATTTTAATGGCAACGAAATAAAAAGAAGAAACATGTTAACAAATATTTTACGTTCATCACTAAAGCTCATAAATGAATTGGTATAGCATTACATGACCGGGAAAGGTCATGTAATGCGAAGTACAGACTATGATTGCCATTCTCAAGAAATTCTCAAGAAATTATTAGGAGGTCCTCACAGGGCAGAGAGAATTGGAGATCATTTGAAGAGGCTTTCGTCCTACAGTGCACATGAGACGAAAACTCATGATTCTGATGTGAGCAACAAAAGTCATATTTTACATTCATATTAGCTGTTATTTTTTATTCAAACAAAATTATGTGTATCCGATAAAACATGCGTGTTTCAAGCAAACATGCTGTAGCAACACTTGCGTTGTCTGTTACATGAAAATAGGAGCATCTCCTTTGATGCTTTTATAAAAACCTTAATTGCACATTAACCCAAATAAATGTAGGGTTCGTTTTTTAAATGGTTATTTCTGATTTCAAGAGCAGATGAATATCATCTGTCTGTCACTATCGTTCTCACCGGGCTGAGCAGACGACCGCACGCATCAGCGAATAAGCAACCAAATGCCGTCTGCTAAGCAGACGAGTAACATGAGTCTGCATATACGATGGTGTAGATGATTAGCCAGGATAATGCAGTAGTGATGAAGCATAGACTAACATGGACTCTATGAGCAAATACATTTAGTACCCGTAAATGCAATGCGCACTGTTTTTTGAGCTTGAAGTTATGACACCAAAACGTTAGAGAGACCTTCTTTCATAAGCGCTAGCATATATAGACGAGCGAAAAGTTCTTGTCGATCCATGTTAACATTATTCCAACATTTAAACTGTATAAAGTGGCAAACCATGAGTTTCTGGTGCACAGATTAAACTGAATGGCACCTGAACTAAGCCATCGGCAATTAGATTAAACATGGTGGCACTTGGATTAAACTCACTGGCACACCGCCTAATCGAGTTGGCACTTGAATTAAATATGTTGGCGCTTCGACTAAATGTTTGGCACATGAATTAAATAGCTTGGCACTCAGATTATTTCAATGGCGCGTGGATTATTTAAGCTGGCACTTGGATTAAAGTGAGCCAAAAAACTTGTACAATGACTAGTTTAATTTTTTTTTACATTTCAATGCATCAAAAACAGTACACTTTCTATATGTTTTTTATATAACAGACAAAAGCCCCCAACATATCAAGTGAGAATAATTTATCCTGGCGAATTCTTAATAGATGCCTACAGGTGAACTTAGTTGAAACGAGCTTCAGCAGTGTTATCTGGAGAAACGCAATAAGCACCATTCTGCTGTAATCATAGAAAATTAGTCTTGTGCGAATGTTTTAATGATTCGAATAGTCAAACTCGCTTCGATTCGAATTTAAATGATCGAACGTTTCGAAGTATTCGCAATGAACTAATAGATGTCAATAGTTTAGTCAACATTTAACTGCCTGTAAGGTGATTTCACTGCAATGTGTTGATGCTAAGCCGTAAAAACACTTATTAAAAAAAATAGCTCTGTCGCAAAGTCCCCTTTCAAATTTAAGGGGCCCTGCAACACTCACTGAGCATGGTCAGAAAACGCTGCCGATCGATAGTCGAGGCTACCGAGAACACCCAAGGCAAATATAGCGCAGCACGTGGCCTGCAATTAACTATAAATTTTCAAACCTAAAAATGGCTCTTTTCCCTCGGCAAATGACACTACAAGCACCAAAATCACTTGTCACAGCCATTGGCTGCTTTGAGCATGGCGAGCTTGTCGTTACCGGGGCCGCAGCGGAAGACTGCCGCTTATCCACGAGTACATGCGTCATCGCACTGAGAGGCCGCGTATTCGAAGAAAAAATAAAAGAGAGAGAAAAAGTGCTCGAAGTCACGAGGCACGCGTGATTTTTTTTTCCCCCCATGCCATCCCTCCCTACTTAGCTTCCAGCTCTTTCATAGGGACGAGAAGAGAGAATGCAATTACAGGATGCGACAAATTCTTGGAACTCCGCTCGTACTAAACTGATTCTAAAAATTTTGTGACAGTAAATTTGTGAGGCAACAAGCATGTTTACTGGCTTCATGGCTACTTGAAAAGGGCCCCTTTAAATTAACATTTTACCCTCAAATCAATTCATCCTTTTATTAAGCTTAAACGCTTGTTAACGGCTTATATGCTCTAAGTATAATAAATTTTAAAATGTTAAGTACTTTACGGGTTATCACTTGCATCCTACCAAAACTCTTATCTCCCTACTACTCAAGGTTGTTACGACTTTTCTTGAACGAAAAAAAAAAAATGAAATTTGCATAGAGCCCCTATTTCAATTCAAACGAAAATTGTGCAGGTTAGTTGGGTCAAGATGAAAATTCCCATTTTTTTTGTATATCGTACTTACCATTCGAATTCGATTTAAAATTATTCGACCAAAATCACTATTTGCTTCAAACTCGCTTCAAACCTAAAATTCACTATTGTCACAAGCCTATCAAAGACAATACGTGATGAGCGAGGCTTGACAGTTTGTGTAACTGCTGTAGCAATAATACCCTCATTAGCTTGAACAGCTCCACTGCTAAAGATCTAAATTACCCTCACCCAGAAGTGTCATCGTTCGAAGCGATCTCCTGCTTGCCAGGCAAGTTGGTGCCCGAGAGATCGAGCGAAGTGAGCTCGGGTAGTGACTCGGCCAGCGTGGAGAGCCAAGCATCTGGATGGGGATAGAAGCCCTGCCCCTGCTCATTAGTGCTCTGCGAGAGGTCCAGGTGCCTGCACAAGACAACCGCCCTTCACGTCCAGAGACCCATCTGGGTATCCTTCGGCCTGATTCCAAAGAAGCCAGCTAATGTATTCGTTCAGGCAACCCTAGATCTCCATTGCAAAGGTGAAAGCCATAGCTTATGGAGCTCACTCACTCAGGTTTCCTCAGCATTTCTAGGAAGCCCTTACGGTAAAAATTAATCTAGAGCCATTCACTACAACATTATCTTAACAGTTTGAAATTTAAAGATGTACTAAAACACAAATCTTTTCTTTCTTATTGCTTTGACTTCTTAGAGAGTTACCAAGACTCTTTATGCAATTACAGCATGCGCCTCCAACTCGTAAATGCACTGCAAATACTGAATTTCACCACTATTCGATGCAATAATTTCATAATGCACAGTAAACGATGAGCTCATCCACAAATTGAAAAGTTGTTCCATTTTTCATTGAAAAACAGATTTTCTTCCAGATTGTGTCAATGCATGTAAGAAGCACCACTTCATCCCAGCGGCAAAATTTCAATTGCGGCTTTCGAGAGAATGCAAAATGTAGCCGTGCACTTACCTGAGCGCCTTGAGTTGACAAAGGACATCTAGAGCAAGATTCGGCTGTGACACATCGGCTAAGCTAAGCCAAGCGAGAGTTGGGGCCAGTGCTTCCAGCCCAGTTAGGTTATCTCCAGTTAGCATGGAGCAGTGAGACAGGTCAAGCAGTCGCAGCGACTGCAAGTGACTCCAGTTAGCATGGACTGAAAGCTGTGGTCCTGCTCCAGAGAGTGACAGGCGCTCCAGGGACATCTGGGACCACAGCCACGAGAGGTCTTTCCAGCTGCAAGCACAGGAGTTGCACAAGTTATGCACGTGGCCGGTGGTCAGCTCAATCGGTGCGCTGTAGTTTCAAGCAAACTATAGAAATCTGAAATACTAGTTTAAATGTGAGGACCACAGCCCGATTTCGAAACGTGCCACGGAATTGCCAGCCACAGGAAAAAAATAGTAATATATTAATTATAATAACAGTACAGACCAAAGCAGAGTCAACCATAGTAGGCAGTGTAAAGCAAATGATGGCAAATGATGGCATCCTTTTGAATCATGAAGCTAAAAACAAAATCCGGATGTATTTATCATAAATAAAACCCCCTAGCAGACAAAAGATTCCTCATGATCTGGGATTTAAACTCGAGCCCAATGCCCCAGCACGGCAGTGGTACCAGGTTGAAACAGCCTAAAAACTTTTATCAACTGGAAAGCTTTCTTTCCGAGACATAAAATTTCCTTTGTAACTCCATGCAGGTACACGACCATCTTATACATTTGCAGTACAACCTCATTACAACAGACCTCCATAGTGAAGAGGATTTTGGTCTGTTGGATAAAGAGTATGAAAAATTCAAGTAGCGTTACAACAGACTTGTATATAAACACTCAATGTATCTGTTATAACCAGCGAAAATTATAACCCATAAAACGAATTCATTCTCAATGGGGGCATAAAATTGAGTTTTTGAAAGTCACATTTTCTGTGTCTGTCACTTTTTCTATCTGATTCCAAAACATATTCAATGAAAACAATGTATAAGTGCTGTGAAAAGCTTTTTGTGCCGGCCGTGGTGGCGAAAATTATTGTGGAAGTCGAAAAAAAAAAAGCCTTTTTCACACAATAGACTCATGCCACGCATGCCACATCTTAGTGCCACCACTATTTTGGGCTGATCGTTAATTCATAAAAAGCATTCCATGTTCAAACTGCCCATTTCAGCTATATCCCCTATTCAGACACAATTTTGCAAAAACAAATGTCTGAAATTTATTTCGAGGCCTCCTTTTGCCGCGTTGCTCTAGCACGCATCACTCGCTCCCAATGCTCGCTCCATGATCGGTTGCTTGAGGGTCGCGAGGCCACAGATGTCGAAAATCGAGTTAGTGATGTTTTTGCACTCGTTCCGTGTTCATAGGTAGACGGTAATTTGGAATACAATTACACTTTAATTAAGGCAGCTGCAAGCGGAACTTCGGTCATCAGATTACAATAGTGCACTGCACTCGTCGTGAACATCACAGACGTGCGTCTCAAACCGACTCGTTGGATTCGCAGTTATATGTTCCGCTTTTATCAGCACTTCCGGCTTTGTGAAAAAGATCACTGCGGGACTACTCTTTGTATTAGCGATCGAACATGACGTACTTTGAAACATCGAGAACCGCGTCCATGCACATCACAACTGAGCTTTCTGCTCTAACTTGTGGTTAGGCTCAACTCTGCTTTGAACTTTGTGAGCAAGACCATCGTGCTAGCCGACATGCAAAAGCAAAGAAGCCATAATGTGCATCATCAAAGGCAACGAATCATCAAAGGCATCGTCTGCTGGCTTCTCAGAACCATGGATAGGCATTATGAGAACCGGCAGTGGAGGCCTCGGCCAAGCTTGCAACACAGCAACCGCTCAGAGTGGCTAACAATTTCACATGTCAGCTCCCCAAAACGCAAGACCAAGCACGCTGCATGCCAGTTTTCTGTCGCCGTAGCTAGGCACTACTAATCATAAACATACCGGAAAGCTGCGGTCTTCATTCTTAAACCAGTACTCTGATATCCACACAGCACACTGTTCCTACCCGGAAAATATGCTAAGCAATGTTTCAAGTTGCAACTATTGAATTTGGCATGCCCGTAATAGAAAAGTTCGCTATAAAGGAGTCCTGAGAACCTTGCTGTCCTCACATTTTAGTCAAATATATTCGAATGTCCCTTGTACCAGAATCCAAAGTAAACGAAGCTCAATCAATGGAACACACAGGGAGGTTGGCATAATGCCACCAATTGGTATTTAGTATCTGTTATAATGAATACTACATACCAGCTCCATTGTAACGTGGTTATACTGCATTGAACATTACCCGATTCGGCGGGCTTTTCTGGAAATGATTGACCAAGCATGATCAAGTGAAGCATTTTTTTATATCAGTGATGATGAAAAGTATTCATATATTTGCAAGCAACATTCACATCTTGATGTCAAGGTGCGAGCAATGCATTACAAACAAGTTTCAATGTTTAGCTTGTGGGGGTCCCATAACCCCCTCTAAGGTTGTTTGTGTCTCATGGCGCGTAAGCTGTGGATAATCACAATTAAGGTCTAACAGCCGCCAAGCTGTGGTGCTGTGTTTCACAAGGATCAGGATTAGCGGTGGCTACAGCAGTGCCGCCACGTGGCTGCAATAGAGAAGCTAGGCCGGTGCATGAAAAAAAAGTAGCGAGTCTTTTTGGGGTTCGACTGCTGGTGTAGGCAAACGTCTCCTGCGGTAGGTCTGTGGAGACGGCACCACGGGCCGTCTCCCATCGCCGAACATCGGCGTTGCCGCATTCGCAGTATACCTTGTTATGTCATTTGAGTGTTTTATTGTAATATTGTATAAGGTTCTTCAGTGTGCCACCGGTGACATATTTGATTCGGCTGGCAATATCCCCGTTGTAAAAGCAAGTGAATGTGTTAGGTTTGCCCAACTACATCTGCTGCGCCCGTGTGTGTTTCAAGAGCAGCACCTTCATTTTCAGACCCCACAGGTTGGGATCAAACTTGCAAAAATTTAACACACCACAACATTTGTTCAAATGGCCTTTGAACATCGATTCTCCTTTCCGTGCATAAAGTTCCAATTCCAGATCGTTGTGAGACGCTGATTTGCTTTGTAACTCTCAATGTTTAGAGGAGATCTTCCTTCTAACAAGGCACATGTTTAATAATTAAAGAACTATATATTCCCAAAAAATATTTCTGTATTTGAAAACATTCCATAAAAAGTGGTGAAAGTTTTCATGAGATATATGAGTTATGAAAAGTTGTTAAACTTCAGTTTATTGAAATTGCTAAAACCAACAATTTCCCTAGTGTATATCAAGCTTTCGCTCTTTGTGGAAGGTGGTGCTAAAATGTTGAAATAGGCAGTATCAAAAAAAAATTAATTTTAGTGACGTAACAAGAAAAACCAACTTTGTTAAAGCATTAGTCCAGACAATGCTGCCTGGGTGCCACAGCATTGCAATTTTTTGGCACAGCCCTGTGCAGAGTAAAAAAAAGGACGCAGGTCCAAGTGGAATAAATGGCAGTGTGACTATTGAAGATATTTTGGCCCTTCTATTGTTCTGACTTGCTATCAAAGCATTGAGCATTTCAAAGCATTGAACATAGTCCAAATTGGTGTAACGCCGATGTTACATTCAGCGAACCAGACCACTTGCTCTCCACTAAGTCCAATGAAATTGCAACATCAGAACCAATTCTCATGGCAAAAAAAAGAAGCAATAGCAAAATAAACGACCACACTCCAACATGTAACAGGCATTCCAGTATTGTTCTTATGGTACCCCCAAAAGTTTGACATTAGATTAGCTATTTTTTTCTACAGTCCCATGAAATCCATCTTAATGATGTTTTGCTATATACACTATTCATTTATTCACTATTTTAGCAAAAAGAAGATCTGCCACAGTTTGCCCTCCCAGCATTTTACAACACCAAGAATCATCAAAAGATAATGTAAGAAGTAAAAAAAGGTTCACCAATTAGGAAAGCTGCCTTTTTTTTTTTAGGCAACTACAGGAATCCAAATAGTGACCTCTTGTCTTCGTATTGCTACACAAACCTAGTTCCTTCCTAAGCTCACAATGAGGCTTCAGCAAGTCAAACAGAAAGCAATACTAAATTACACACTATCACGTCACAAAAACGTGATCACTCCCTTTCGTGTGACACAAAACACCTTCACATACAAGTGAGACTATTTCAGAAAAATCCTATGTTATTCTAGAAGCATCATGACACAGCTGAAGGGCTACTACTACACAAAAAATATAGCCACAACAAAACTTGATAGAGTTGAAAGACTCGTTAAAATTAATAAATACATTCCTAAGGAAGAGGAAAAAATCGTAACATAGTGTAGACCATAAGGTTGCGGCACCACCTCTGTAAGAGTTGCCCATTAATTAAATAATGAGCTTATGAAGAGAGCACACGCAGTATTGGCAATGATCACAATGATGAGCAGTCAACAGTATACTCTGCATTAATGTAAAAATCATTTATGAAAATGACAGCATTCTATTTAGTGGCGGCATGAAATCATGAAGGCTTGCAACAGATTACAGTGAATTTCCTACACGCAGTCATGAATATGAAACAAAAAGGGCCGGTTTTATGCAAGAGCCACACAATGAAAAGATTAAGAGAAAAAACTGTAGCTATAGCACTTTTTTTTTTTTTAATTTTGTCATTGTGCTGCTCTAGCTCAAGTCAATGTCATGTTGACTTTTTGAGGGATTGACATGGAACACACATATGGAAAAACTAACGGTAGAACTCAGTAAAACCGTTGGATGTTTATATAAGCTCAGCCCAGTCTTACCAAAATGGTTACAAAAAGAATTATATCACGCCCTTTTCTACTCTAAAATGACATACGGTATTTTGGTATGGGGTACTACTACACAAACAATCAAAAATTACTAGTTCTACAAAAAAGAGTTTTGCGAGCATTCGAGCAATACCATGGTATTATCAGGGATTTGAAAACCAAACCACTCTTTGAAAAATACACATTATTAACAATAACAAAACTGTATTATTTCAAACTTCTGCAGTGGATTAAACAAAACAAGCCACAGTGTCTTCAGAACCAGCCTGACAACACTCATTATACTATGCGTCAGCAACGCTGGAAAATCCCAGCAATAAGGACAAGTTATGGCAAGCAACACGTTCAGTATCAAATGATGATTGATATGTGGGGTTTAACGTCCCAAAACCACCATATGATTATGAGAGA